CGAGCGTACCTCATTCCCAAGGTGAGACCAACTATTATTTCACAACTCTATCCTAAAAGCCTCCTGCATTCTCGATCATAATACCATCTTGTTTAGTTACCACCATTCCTGGTGTCTTATTGATTAATTAAATGTCTACTCATGTGAGTCAGGGTACGTTAATATCTTTTATCTCATAATGTCTCCTAGAACACTGAAGCTTAACCCACCCCGAGTTCAGCTCTCCATAACCCAAAGTACTTTGAACACCCTGGCACCTTCAATCCTGTGCACTTCCTGGCTGTTTATGGGGTTCTGAAGAAGAATGAAGATTTTATGCCCTTCTTTATAGGTGAGATGGACTCGTGCTTCCTTTCCAAGACACTAGAGGGCAGGCTCACCCTCCCAAGCACAGGCAGGGCTAGGTCCATGTTTACTGAGTCTGTTCCAGCTGCTTTGCCTGAACCATCTCATTCATTCTGCCTCCATTCCCACAAGTGGTCTCTTGAGCTAAGGGAACACCCAGGTCATGAACACTTTGAAGAAGTATTTAAAGGTATCTGAACTTGAGCAATTTCATTTTCTTAATAAACAGAAGCAATAAAAACATCTATGAAGTATGCTATGCACTAGATGGGTTCTTGATTGATGTCTGGGGAGGCACTGAATTTAGCTGTGAGCACAGGGGTGATGGGGACTGTCTTGCTATACTTGCCCCTGTTTGTATACTCTTGTCAAATTGGAAAGAGATCAAAATTACTATCACTTATTTGAGCCAAGAAACCATTCATAGTGGATAATATCCTGAACCAGAGATAGTTCAAGTTACAGCATCTATCATTGTCAGCACATGGTTTCTGTGGACAAAAGGGAGCTGGACATAGACACATAGACTGATTAGTGTCAGCTCTGTTTTTGTCTTACTTGGCCTTGCTGGAGTAGTGGGCAGCTTGGGATAAGTCAATTGTTCTGAATGACTGGAATTTGTTCTTCTTTAGATAAATATAATCTCGAGTTAGTGTGTAGTTTGGTTGCCTGCTATATTTGGCTAGTTTATTATATACAGCAGCTGCCTCCACATAAATCTAATTCAGTTTGATAGACTATGTGGGATGTAAACATGGAAAATTTGTCTAAGGTTTCTTGTCTCTCAGAGAAATAGGCATTTCAGAAATAATTCCTTAGCCTCTAGTTGTCACCACCATATCCTCATGCTTAGGGCAGAAGCCAAGGCTGTATATGTTAAGCAAGTTCTGTTTGAAAGACCCCCACCTCTACCCTCTCCTTGGTGCATTTTAGAAGATGCTTTCCTGATGAGCCTCTCTGCTCTCTGTCCTCATCCCCTCACAGAGGGATTTTAGGCAAGTGTTGTCCTGTTGATCCATGTCTCAGCTAGAGTGATCTAGTCTTGAGTGTCTAAGTGACTTTAGTATCCCTGGATGCTGCCTTGCACCTGTCTCTGAATAGTATAATGGCCTCCTTTCATATTTCATCTTCAGAGTTGTACACTTATAGAGCGTAAGATGAAAGTAAATCATCCATATTAGAGTCACAATTTTAGAAAATCAGAGTTGTGGAGAAAAGGGATGTAAGAAGAAGACATGATGGAATATATGACTAGATATGGTTAGACAGAGAAGGACATTTGGTTAGGGCGTTAGTTGGGAACTTTAGAAAAAGCAAGCAGAAAAGAATAGATAAAAGACACATAGTAATAATAGGTACAGACACCAGTTCATGTGTACTGCTATGGGATGCATCAAGTGAACAAGCAAGCAAGCATGCAAGCAATAAAGCAAGCTAGAGAGGGAGAAAACAAGAAAGCCAAATGGATATTAGAGCCAAAGAGACATGAACGATGTCTAAGTTGCCAGTTCTGTCATGAGAAAATTGTGTTGAGAGTGAGATAAGTCATTGAAAGGTGCTCTGGAAAAATCTAGGTCACAAAATGAAGTCTAGGAGAGTCATCTCAGAGAGACTCTCCATGAATTTCTAAGCTCATATCTTCTAAGTTATGGAAATGGATGCCCAAGGGAAGATTGTACTTTCCTTAGACACTCCTGCACAGGCAGTTACCCAACAACTGAAGGGAACAGGGATTGCTGGGAAGTCCTTCTTCCACCTGGAGGGCTGAGACAGCCAGTTGCACATTAATAATCACTGAGGTACAGGGCAGCTAGTGGAGCTTCTGCCTGAACTTTCAGGCTCCCTTTGTTCTGTGGTGCTCCATGCCCTAGGTGACAAACCATCAAGGACTCCTTATACCCCTGAGAATTCCGTGGGTGTCATAGATCCCTTATCATGTGTTCCTGAGGTTTCTAAATTGTATGAACAATTGTGTTTGGGGACTTAGTAATCTCAAGATCAGCAAAAAGTGAGGGGAGAGTGGAGTTGGGGAGCACAGGAGTGAGAGGAAAGACAAAAGGGAAACATGCACAGAAGTCTTGCTATGTAGTTTAGGCTGTTCTAAACCCATCATTTTCCTGACTCAGTCTTCCAAGTGTTGAACTTGCAGGGATGTGCCTCTATATCTGCACCATATAGGACCCTTAATGTTAAGGTTTAAAAAAATGCTGCAGGTCCCCAAGTGGCTGCAGTGGGCAGCAGGCCATGAGACCCTGCCGCAGGTCTGCAAAGTGGTGGCAGGCAGAGCAGCCAGTCCCAGGCAGGGACAACACAGTGCCCTAAGTGACTGCAGTGGGCCATGAGGGGCAGAGAGTCTCAGGCAGGGAGCCCCAAACAGGGAGCCACGTGGAGGGTGAGAGACCTTGACATAGCAGCCAGTCACATGAGGAGAGACAGATGGATGGCCACACCACAAGACCATACCACAGATCTCTGAAGGTGACTGGCCCTGGGCAGGGAGCCACTTGATGAGTGAGAGACAGAGACATGGATAGGCACATCATGCAGAGTGAGGTTGGATATTAATTTAGTGGGTTATGGGGGGAGGGGAGGGGAAATGGGAGAATAGCAGAAAGAGAGGAAGAGAGATAGAGAAAGAGAGAAATGGGGGGAAAGGAGAAGTAAGAAGGGACAGACAAAAGCTGCCTCTTTGAAAGAGAGAGAAAGGAGGGGACTCAGGCTGGAAGCTGAAGATCAGCAGACAGGGGAGGGAGTGGGTAAAGCTTGTCTCTTAAAGGGACAGTACAGACCATTACACTCAAAACCATCCATTTATTAATATAAGAGTCTATCTGAACAACACCTTCACCTTCAGGGCAGCCCAATGAGATGGGCACCAATCCTCTCACACGAGATTGGAGGGAAACTAAAGTTGTTGCATGTCCATGTATACACATAGACATTTTGTTCCTGCGTAAGTGGGTTTTTATAGTCTGGAATTAAGGACTCTGGTAATCTTACACAAGTTAGGAATATTTCAGAAGTGACTAAGAGACATCCACCACCAAGCTAACACATGTTGTAATTTTGTTATTTATTGTGTACATGTTGTAGGTATATATAAGTATTCTATGATGTGTGTGTGCGTGCGTGCGTGCGTGTGTGTGTGTGTGTGTGTGTTTAAATCAGAGGACAGCTTGTGCAGTTGTGGCACTTGGTTCTCTCCCAATATATAGATTTTGGAAATTGAACTTATGGTCTCAGAACTGATAGCATGGGGGCTTTCTGTGCTAAGACATTTCTCTGGTCTATATACCAATTCTTTAAGGATTTGGTAATCTCTTAACTGCTAGGAAAGCTCCTTCAGCTCCTTCGGACTTTAAGATATCAACCCACTTGGGTGTGGTCTCTTTGCTTTAAAAAAACAGCAGTATCCCTGCTCTCTCTCTCCCTCTCTCTCTCTTGCTTCTGGCTCCACTTCAAGCTACTAGACTCTGTTCCTTGTTGCACAGAGGGCTGTTGTCTAGGACAGTGATCTGTATGTTTTCCCCTTAAATAAATAACCCTTTTGTTCATCATAATTCCAAACTGGTATGGGATTGTTTTGTGACTTAAGTCTACACTTAACATTCTCACTTGAATTGCAAGTGGGAATCAAACTTATTATTATTGCTAGCAGTGAACAGATTTTTCTGGCTTTAGGAAAGGGACAGTCTGAAGGTTGTACTATAACATGGAGGGCCAGGCCTGCTTGTTTGGGTTTCTGTCCTGCCTGGTACCCCACAACTGTTTAGCCCCAAAGAAAATCACACATAGGTCTCCATAAATTATAAGCTGATTGGCCCATTAGCTCTAGCCTCTCACTGGCTAACTCTCACATCTTGATTAACCCATTTTCTGATCTATGTTAGCCATGTGGCTCAGTACCTTTTTTTCAGTGGGGCAGATCACATCCTGCTGCTTTGGTGGTCTGGGCAGGAGTGGGAGGAATAAACTTCCTCCTTCCCAGAATTCTCCTGTTCTCATTACATCATTTCTACTTCCTGTCTGGTTTTCTCACCTGCACTTTCTGCCTGGCCAATCAGCGTTTATTTAAAACATGATTGACAGACTATAGACAATTATCCCTCACCATTGTGCACTGCCCTGGGGCACATGTCTCATACTCCATGTTTACAGGAAAGTGCATTTGTCTTGGGGAAGGCATTGTGTGCATTGAATTGTTCCTTCTTTTCCCAACGTCCCCCAGAATTTCTCTGTGTCCAGTCCTGTGGCTCCTAAGGACATTGACCTCAGTCCCAAAGAGAGTTGTTTCAGCAATATGCCCCCAACACATCAGATCTGATTCTTTTCCTGATACTGGTCTGAGATGGTCAGGTGTTCCCACTCCTATTGAGAATGGCCCCAACTTTCTGCTTCTAAGAGACTTCCTGGAACTAGGTGCTAGATCACCTACTACAAATTTTCAAATTTTCAAAATTGCTGTTCTGCCCTGTGAATGGCACTGGATAAACCAATCGAGTGTCTTTTTTTTTTTTTTTTTTTTTGAGAAAAGCCAGCATAAAGCACTTTTATTGCAATAATAAAACTTGAAACGCATATGTGGTGCAGAGGGCAAGGGACAAAAGCGTACTTTCTCTCACCAAATCACTACACAGGACAGCAGAGGTTGAGAAGGAACTGAGGGAGGAAAATCCAGGAAGCCGAGATTAGCAGAGAGAGCCAAGCATCAGAACCCAGGAGATGCTGAAGCTGTGATGACCAGCATCGTCTTCTTAGAGAACACTCAAGGATTTGTAGTGACAATTGGGCGTCCATTGGGTGGTGAGTCTACAAACAGCACCTTCAATTTAAACTTTCCATTAAAGTTCTTAAAATTTAGGAAGTGGAGCTTGGATAGTTACAAGATTACAAAAGTCCTGAAAATCCATTAGAAAAACCATAAGATGAAAAATAAATTAAGCTTCAGAGGTCCCTGCCGACCCAGAGACAGGAACTGTAGTGTCTAACACAGCAGTAAAGGGACCTGCTTTACAAGGCAGACAGTTTCAGAAGGTGGGAGGGCTGTCAAAGGCTCGCTCCCTCCCTTCCCACTTCAGTTTGGGTAGGGCTTTCAATTTAACAGGACTTCCCGCACTGGAGAAAAATCCAGCCCTCAACAGCATTCGAATCTGCTATGGCTTTGCAGCACAGCAGCAAGAATGTCTTAATATATAATAGATAAATTTTTCATCCAAAAAATTAAAATAAAATAAAAATTCTTGCAAACCGCACCCCCAACACCAATTCCTATTCTAAAGTTAACCCATCGCTTGTGCTGTTAATACTTGACAATATACTTCATTGGAAACCTAGATCTGAAAGACTGAAATTGAATCTTCACCCCAAAACAAAATAACTTGAGGTTTATGGCATATAGTTTAGGTCAACACACATACAGAGAAGGAAGAGGACATGGAGGTGTCCGAAGCAAAGCCGAGTGACGGAACACATTCAGTCGGGTAGGTGTCTATACAAAGAGTGGTGGGCATCAGGAAAAGCTCCACATGGATTCATGTGCACCCGTCTGGAGGTACCAGATCCCTCCATGGCAGATCTGTTGGGGGACAGAAAATCTGGGAGTTCCAGTAACTCATTGTTCTATGCGTGGACAGTCACAATATTATCTATCATGTCAAGTCCCGTCCTGAGCAGCTGAGAGGTCTTGAACCAGGCAACTTCTTAAAGCTGGAAAAAGCTGATGAATTGACTCAGTTTTCCGGCAAGTAACTTTCTTGTGTTGACTTGCCATGAGTGGTTCATATGGCTTTTCTCCTGGTAACCTCACATTAAGTTTAGCTTGCTAAAAACAGAAGGAGGCCGCCCCTCCCACTCCCGATGCTGACAACACAATGAGGTTCCAAAAAGCATCCTCACTCAGTCCCTGGCTGTGGCCTCTGGGTTCCATGTGCAAGGAGCTAAGGGAGGAGGCCACTTCTGTCATTCCAGTTTTAGAAGCTCCACATCGAAGACCAGAGTGGCATGTGGTGGGATGATGCCTGGGTGCCCAGTGGCTCCATAGGCATAATCTGGGGAGATTGTCAGTTTGGCTTTCTGACTCACACTCATCTGGGCTACCGCTTCTTCCCAGCCTCGGATCACCTCCTGCTTGCCTAGCATAAACTTAAAAGGCTTGTTTCTGTCCCGAGAGGAATCAAATTTCTTTCCATCTTCAAGCATCCCCATGTAGTGCACCACGCTGGTCTGGCCACGCTTCGGGAAGGTGTGCCCGTCTCCAGGAGAGATGGTCTCCACCTGCACTCCCATGGCTTTTCCTGATTCTAATAATATGATCAGAAATTCCTCACAAGATGCTCAGCTTTGGTTGATGCCATATACAGTCAACAATGAAGAGCAGTCATCATAGGGCCCTGTCCTCCAACCTCCTGGCTATTCTTACATGTCACCATTTTATTGTTAGGCACCTAAGGTTCCTTCTAGAAGGGATTCTTGCTACAAACTCTGTCATATTCATGCCAGGTTTGTGAAGAAACAAACTGTTGCCTTGTTTCTTGTTCCATTGTGAGAACCTGGAACAGCAGGTGAAAGATGCCAGGTGTTTAATATAGTGGAACAATAAACAATAAGTAAATAAACAACTCAATAAAGTGACAAAACCAGCAGTTCCTTAAACTTGCCCAATGTGTAATTGTCTGTCTCTAATTTCTGTCACTCTCTTCTGATGACCAGAATAAATCCTTGTCCCCAAATTCCAGTTGACCCCAGCTGTGTGAGTCATCTGCTTTTGCTGCTTTGTCACCTTCTGACAGAAGTGTCTGGGAGCCACCCTTTGAGTGGTGTCCCTGAAACTCAGCTTCTACACACCGGTCTGTGGGGACAAGCATTTGTTTATGAAAAATGTCATTTATTTAATTCAATCATCTAGGAAGATGTCTCTTGGCAGTCATTCGCCAGTCAGCAGGCAGCTCTCAACTCATCTCTGAGAGAGTAAATTTCTACTTGCCTCACCAAGCTCTCTGTAGCCCAGGGAGAGTCAGCAGGAGCTTTGGCAAGGTAGACTCATAGAACACCCTCTTCCACCAGCCACAGACACAGCACAACAAACACCGCAGCCACCCTTCAAGTAAAACAGAGAAATGTGTGCCAAGGGAGGACAATGGCACTCCTGTTTCTACTGAATCTTGTTATACTGGACCTGCGGTGACTCTAGCTCAAGGGCTGTCTCTCTCTTGGGCAACGGCTTCCGGTTTGCTGGAGAATACTTTGCAAACACACTCTATGAGGTTAATCAAATCCTTCCAAGGGGTGAGATGTGGCAGAGGTCAGGGTGAGGAGGCAGGCAGTGGACAGAAAGAAGTAATGCTGACAGATAGCAAGGAGTTGCATTGAACAGGTTTTGAATTCTCTTCTTCCAGTCATGGTTTGGCACTAATGAAGCTTCTAGAATTATTAAGAAAACAAACAGTGGGAAGGTAGTTAGGGAGATAACTTCTGATAGATGTACTAATATCTTCATCCTGGAGTGTAGCATTTTATGTGTGGAGCCTGTGAAACTCATAATGCCCAAAGGTGCAATGTTCTCAGAAGTTCTGGGACCAGGGTCTTTGGGTAAGTGTATGAGAGATAGTCACATAAAAGCACAGAGTTCAAGTTTGAATTCTTTCCTGGTGAGACCCAGACAACCTATCACCAGGGAGTGTGAGTCAGTGAGAGATATGACCCATTACTTGGGTCAGATTGTGAGATCCTGGCCTTGACTCTTCAGCTGAGGGAGAAATATGGAGATACTGCCACAGATTACATGGTTCTCAATCTATTCTAGCCCTGGGTGGACATGAGGTGATATGGGAGGCCCTAGTGGAGCAGGCTGAATATTTCTCTGAATAAAGTTCATCATTGTCATCTGTCCTATCTTCCAGGAAATCAGTGAGTGGTGGGACCAGACTAGCAGCTGGAGGAGGGAAATTCATGTGCGTGCTCATGTCTTCCTGCTCTACCATGCCAATTATATTTGGTCTCCACCAGCGGAAAGCCTTGTTACATTCCTGAATATTTCTGTCTGAGCACCATGGGGGGCTTTGGGATGGAGAAATGGACCACATAGCAGTGAATCAGAAGAAAGATGAGAGTGTAGAGGCCCCAAAATGCCAAAGGCCAGAGAGTTGGGACTTGTTTCTAGTTCCGTCAAGGTTATTATGCTTCTACCTCAGACCTCGTTGTAAATCAGAGAGTTCTGATCACTTAAAATTATTTTCAACAGGTGTGGTTAATTGCTAGACTTTATGCTCCTGGAATAGGGAAGTAGTTTGTTCCTATTTCAAACAAAAGTATAAGGATCCAACTAAGTTCATGTTCCCTTTATGGAAATATCTTAGTTTTTCATCCTCCCTCTATACCTTCCCATCCCTCCCCTTCTGTCCCTTCTTTCAACCCCTCCCTTGCTGCTTCCTGTCATCCATTATCTTTCTTCCTTCCATCACTCCATCTTCTTCATCCTTTATTCCAATCTCCTCTCCTCTCCTCTCCTTCCTTCCTTCCTTCCTTCCTTCCTTCCTTCCTTCCTTCCTTCCTTCTTTCCTTCCTTTCTTCCTCCCTTCCTTTCACATGTACTCCAGACTTGCCTTGAACTCTCTATGTGGCAGAAGATGATCTTGAACTCCTTGATATGATTTTCTTGCCTTTGCCAGTTGTGCATGCCTGCTATTTTTGATACTGGGGATAGAACCCAAGTCACCAAGGAGGACCAACACTCTACAAACTTAGCAATATCTCCAACCATCTTTTGTGTCTCTCTTGGGTAGCTTCTGCCTGTTTCTTTGGGGTCCTTGCTATTCTCTCTCTATATCTCCCTCTTTCATATCTTCATTCTCTACTTACTTCCCTTAATTTCTTTTAGCTTTTGTACAAACAACCCATTTCTTTTCTCTGACTTTTTCTTGTTCTCTGTGTCCTCAGAAGCCCTTTATCCTGGGCTTTCTTCATTTAACAAAGGATAATCTTTAACTTATGATCTTTTTGTCTCTGCAGTGTTCTTGTGCCATACACATCTCTTTCTTACTCAGTGCTTAAGGGAAGATTTAGATGGTTGTCATTACATGATGCCATGAACCTAGAGAGGGATTAAAAGATATTTTGAAGGAGCATAGGAAAAGAGGGACATAAAGAAACATTGTCTTTCTCCCTCTTTGGAATCTTCTCACTTTTCCTCAGTTTACTTACCCAATCTTATAAAATCTCATTCAGTTAGGCACATGGTGCATGTGATCCCAAATTCTAGCAGGAATGAGGGAAAATGAGGGAGAATTTTCAGTTTTCAATACTTGCATGGGCTACGGAGAGAGTTCAAGGATAGCATGACCAATTTAATGAGGGATCTTGACTTAATAAGAGAAGGGAGGAAGAGGGGGAGGATGGAAGGGGAGAAAGAAAGAAAGAGAGAAGGGGGAGGGGAGAAAGAGAGGTTACTGTGACAGAGGACTTGCCTCACATGTTTGAAGGCATAGGTTCAATCCCCAGGACCACAAAAACAAAACAAAGACAACTCCACATGGGACTTTCAAAACCCTTCCCACACTTTTGTTATTGTTAGATTGGGCAGAATGTGAAAACCCACATGTGACTCAGTTTCCATCTGGAGTCATTCTGACTTAAATAAGTCATTTGAGTTCAAGCTTGCTTGCCTGCTCTGCTTTTTCCAATAACCTTGAGGGCTGTGAGAAAGTTCTGATTAAGTTCATGGGAATAGCATTTTGCCCGGTTGAAAGAGCACATTTTTCTACTAAGATTTGGGCTGGTGTATGCCAGTCAGAGGCACTTCTCATTAGAGATTACAAGCAGCTTAGCTGAATAAGATAATGCTTGTGCTTGAACTTCCTCCCAAGGACAGTGCAAGGAGGTGGTTAGCTGACTGTACTGCTCTTTGTTCTGCCTATTGGCTGAAGTGTACATGCTGCCTGAGAAATAAATTCGGGTATGTTTGGGATTGACCTTCAGTCTTCCAAGTCTACTCTATGTTTCTATTCTCTCTTCATTTCTCTTAATCTAACTTTTAATCAGCCTCATCACCCCCTCCCAGGGAACCTCCAGCTGATTTCTGCCAGAGCAGGATCCCACAGCACAGAGGCTGGATGAACATCTCTCTCATGTGGGATTTTTGGAAAAGTAACATCAGAGGAGAGGAGACAGGCCTGCAGCCAGGAAGGGCTTCCCAGGGGACAAAGCAGGGCTCCTCTCCAACTCCTAGCAAAAGCACAGTGTAGTACAATTAAGACATTATTGGAGATTGAAGGGTGTCCTCAGCATAGTAAAGGTCTAATGCTCCATTTTCTAAGCACCCAAACCAAGATCTCTGAAGAAAGAAGATATGCTTGACCTCTTTCTAGCATACCTCACTCAGGCTTACCTCACTCAGGATAGTGTTTTCTATTTCCATCCATTTGCCTGCAAACTTCAAGAAGTCCTTGTTTTTTACTGCTGAGTAGTACTCTAATATGTATATATTCCATACTTTCTTCATCCATTCTTCAATTGAAGGGCATCTAGGTTGTTTCCAGGTTTTGGCTATTACAAACAATGCTGCTATGAATATAGTAGAGCATATATTTTTGTTGTATGATAAGGCCTCTCTTGAGTATATTCCCAAGAGTGGTATTGCTGGGTCCAGGGGTAGGTAGTTTGTTTTCTTTTAAAAAATAATACTTTAAAGAGAAAAAGGGGTGAATATAAACATTTAATGGCCATAGTCAATTTCTAAATGAAATAAAGGGGATATGATATAGAGATGAATACTTGGTATTGGTATGGATCTTAGTCTATTGATACAAATTTAAGATCAATTTTGTTACACATTTTATATGTATTTCTGCTCTTGTTTAAGGTATTGTATTTGTGCAAATCATTTAAAAATATAATGTATAATTAAAATTACAGATTAATACATAGCCATTTATAATAGTCAAAGTTATAGTCATGTTAGTTAAGTTTTCTAGATATACAGAGATATATTTCAGTTAGATAAACTTCAACACTTCAAAGAGCTACAGAATATGGTATCTAAAATGTTTTAAGAACTTAGATTTTTCTCCACAGTAAGACATGTCTGCTTTTGACAGTACTAACTACTTTGGAGAGATTGATGGACATTGAAGAAACTCATTATGGAATTTGCCTTCAACGTGTCAAGGCTAGCCATTTGTGTAGAAAACTGTCCTTGCCTGGACTGATTATGGTTTGCTGTATGGGCTGGATTACAGAACCCACAGAGAAATGAGTGATGAACTTCTCTAAAGAAGATGAGACAGTCCTTCAGGGTTCTAGCTTTATAAGAGAGTATGCCAGACATTGATGTGTGAGTGTCATCTATCTGTTGCTTTTATTGGTTAATTAATAAAGAAACTGCTTGGCCTTTGATAGGCCAGCCCTTAGGTGTGTGGAGTAGACAGAACAGAATGCTGGGAGAAAGACGCCGAGTCAGACAGATGCCATAGCTCTCCTCTCCAAGATGGACACAGGTTAAGATCTTTTTAGGTAAGCCACCACCTCATGGTGCTACACAGATTATTAGAAATGGGTTAATCGAGATGTGAGAATTAGCCAGTAAGAGGCTAGAGCTAATG